AGCGAACGCCCCTGCAGGTGGGAGCGGAGCAGTGGGGGCCGCACCTGAGCTGAGCGAGGCCGGGCTGGGGGGCGCTGCGGTTACTGGAAGAGGCCCGGGCCCGAGGGTGACTCACACCGGGAAGAGGGAAGCTGCTGGGCTGGGTCAGGCCCGAGGGGCCGCCCTGCCCCAAGGGGAAAGCGTTGCACCTGTGGTCATGGCCAGGAGACCGGGTCAGTCTCCTCCTCTGAGCCCTCAGCCATCCCCCAGCCCACTCCCCGAAACAGCCAGGAGTCCAGGGTGCCTGGGTGCAGCGGCCAAGGCCCTGCACGGAGTCCGCTGCCCTTCCTGCGCCCGCCCCCGTTCCGAGGCCGCCTGTACCTGCGCATTCCAAACACCAGCGCTGCCCCCACGCTCAGTCCCAAGCACCCTGCAGAAGCAAGCAGGTGCCCACGGTTATTGAAGACTTGGTGACAGCAGCGATGAAAAGGAGAGGGAACTTCGCTCTGTGAGAGGGTATCCACGCCCCTGACTCACAAAATATCCCCCCTGGAGGAGACTGGGCAAAGTGCATGAGACCCCCCTCTCTTGTGTCTTAAAGCTGCATACAAATTTACAGTCACCTCCACAATGATTTCATTTTTTTGTTTGTTTCAAAGATGGAGTCTTGTTCTGTCGCCCAGGCTGACTCGAGTGCAGTGGCGCCATCTCGGCTCACTGCAACCTCTGCCTCTGGAGTTCAAGCAATTCTGCCTCAGCCTCCCGAGGAGCTGGGATTAGAGGCGCCCACCACCCTGCCCGGCTGGTTTTGTATTTTTAGTAGAGACGGGCTTCACCATGTTGGTGAGGCTGGTCTTGAACTCCTGACCTCAGGTGATCTACCCTCCTCGGCCTCCCAAAGTTGGTGGGATTACAAACATGAGCCACGTTGCCCCACCCACAATGATTTCATTTTAAAATGTTATCCAACAAAGGGAATGTAATCATTAGACACCAGGTGGTTCAGCAACAAATCCTATGTTCGGGGCTGACCCAGTCACCCCGTGCTCACATGCCTGGTTTCACTACAGAGAGAGGACACAGTGAAAGTCAATACAACTAATCACAGCATATGGTATTAGGAATATAGGAACTTAGGAAAGAGGATGGAACAGCTGTGATTCATAAAACCGATCATCTGAGGGGCAGGCCAGGGTGCAGATGCTGCTGGAACTGCTGTCTCTTGGTAGGAGCCTTGCGTGAGGTTTGGGGAAGACAGGTGGGTTCTGCCGGCCCTGAGCAACCACCCCACATCAGGGCTGCGTGCCTGTGCTCAGCCACCACACTTCACACCTGTGTGAACTCGGTTCAGCGACAAGACCCTGCTCAGTCAAATTTGTGAAATAGAGACCATAGCACGCTTCCTGTCACACACACTTAACTGATGGCCACAGTCCCTGTTCAGAACATTCTACGTCCTTTCTGAGTCTGGTTTAAGGAAGAGCTGTGCTTTACACACAGATAAACCCATGAAGACATGTGTGTTGTTCTTTCTGATTCTAGTAGATTTCTAGTGTGTCATTTTGCATGAACTATCCAAAAAGGATTTTTATTTTATGTTTTGAAACAGAATCTTGCTCTGTCTTGCAGGCTGGAGTGCAGTGGCATGATCTCGGCTCATTGCAACATCCGCCTCCCTGGTTTAAGCGATTGTGCTGCCTCAGCCTCTCGAGTAGCTGGGATTACAAGCGCGTGCCGCCATGCCCAGCTCATTTTTGTATTTTTGGTAGAGACAGGGTTTCACCATGTTGGCCAGGCGGGTCTCAAACTCCTGACCTCGTGATCCGCCTGCCTCGGCCTCCCAAAGTGCTAGGATTACAGGTGTGGGCTAACATGCCCGGCCTGTAATGCAGGTCTTTAACTGGTGACTCTGGGATCTGGGCTGTGTTATCTCATCTCCAATATTGTGACAGCCAAGGTCGCCTGAGGTCAGGAGTTTGAGAATCTCTTGAACCCAGAGGTGGAGACAGCAGTGAGCCGAGATTGAGCCGCTGCACTCCAGCCTGGGTGACAGAGCGAGACCCCGTCTCAAAAAAAAAAAAAAAAGATTTTTAAAAGACAAAAGTCTCGTGTAACCCCACCCCCTGAGGTAACTATTATTAACACACTGGAACGCTTTTTTCCAGCCTCTGTCCTTGTGCTCACGGTAAACAAATCAGTTTTAGCAGCACCTCAGTGGGCTTTGCACCCTGGACGGGTTGGGGTGGGGTGGGCTGTGGCAGCCTGAGTGGTAACAGCCCTGCCCAGGCAGGAGCCTCCAAAGGTCCCTGGACAGGAGCAGGAGGGGCCGATGGGATTCTGTGGCCCTGGCACCGATCACGCCGTATCTGTGATGCTGTGTGACCAGGTTACAGACCTTGGCATCCCATGGGCATTTTTGTCCCCAGGCATTTGACCAAGCCGTGACCAAGGACACCTGCATGGCGGTTGGCTTCTTCCAGCGAGGAGTGGCCAACTTCCAGCTGGCGAGGTGAGTACAGGGGTGCCTTGTTCCTTCTCTGACGGCCCTTTGTCTCCCTGCAGAGTCCACTCCTGCACTCCCCCCTCCTCCGTCTCCACCTGCTCCCTCCTCTTGCCCACTCCCTCCTCCGTGGTTCCTGGCTCCAGGGAAACCTGGGCAGAGACTGTGGCCCTCACCTCTGCTGACCACCACCCTTGAACACAGGTGGTCGGGTCCTCACTGCTCACCTGGGCCCTCTGCACCATGTCCCTTCCTAAAGGAGGAATGAGGGAAGGGAGACCATCGGGACTGCAGGCCAGGCCCTGCCTCGGCCTCTCTGCCTGATGCTCAAAGGCCCCATCCCAGGAGGGCAGGCTCTGTGGGGAAGTGGATTACAGTCCCGAGAGCCTTGCAGTCCTGAATGTCAAAACCCCTGAAGTCTAAAATCCCAAAAAGTATAATTCTAGAAAAAATAAAATTCTGTAAAAGATATTTATTTACTTTTTAAAAATTATTTTGAGGCAGAGTCTCACTCTGTCGCCCAGGCTGGAGTGCAGTGGCGGGATCTCGGCTCACTGTAAGCTCCGCCTCCTGGGTTCAAGCGATTCTCCTGCCTCAGCCTCCCGAGTAGCTGGGATTACAGGCAGGCACCACCATGCCCGGCTTA